AAGTCATATCATCATTTTTAAATGAATAATAAACAGTTCTATTAAAAAATTTGATGACGCGTACATAAATAACATTTTGGAGGTTTAAAGTGTCAATATTGTCATTTTGGAGGTTTAAACGGATAGTAGAAAACTTTGAAAGTTTAAAGTGTAAGTGCTAACCACCTTAAAAGTTTTTATGCGATTTTTCCAAATAATTAATTAATTACGCTGAAAAGTGAAAAAAAAAAACTTGATAAATTGTATAATGATTTCCAGTAAATACAAATTTGGATCTTTTTAATAAATAACTTAAAAAAAAAAATTAAAAAATTGGGAATAAGAGATATGTGGTATATGATTTAAGTTTTTTTGGTTAGTTTGTAAATTATAATTTTTTCTTTTGTATTAATGGCAAATTTTTCCTACAAATTTTCTCTTTTTCTTTTGGTCCACAACTTCTTAAACCATTTTTGTCAAAATTGATTTTGATTTTACGGTCTGCGTTTTGGAGTATCATCTGAAGAGACAGTAGCGACTAACGTCGGTCCGGCATGACGATGGCGGCGGGGATCGGCTACGCTCTGGTGGCTTTAGGACCTTCTCTTTCACTTTTCATCTCCGTCGTCTCCAAAAAGCCATTTCTCATCCTCACTCTTCTCTCCAGGTTCTTCTTCTTCTTCCCTTTCTCTCAATACTGGAGAATTAGGTTTTCTTTGTTTCCCCCCCCCCCCCCCCTTGGATTGAAATTCGAGCTCGCGAAGACCTTTCCAGGTCGAAATTAGGGTTTCGCTCTGAAATTGATAGAATTGTTGGTGAAATGTTTATGCAGTACTTTGGTGTGGCTTGTGAGTTTGATCATCTTGTCGGGATTATGGAGGCCATTTCTTCCACTCAAAGCAAATGTATGGTGGCCTTATGCTTTACTTGTTATCTCCTCTGTTTGTTTCCAGGAAGGTCTTCGATTTCTCTTCTGGAAAGTTTACAAGTAAGATCATCAACAGTATCAATCTTTTGAGCTAGAGCTACAAGTTTGTTTTGCTTTGTTAATCTGATGCTTTGGTTTATGGGTCTCTCAATACATGTATGATACTCAGATTTGGCTGTATAGCTTTGTGTTTTGAAATGTGTTATTGTGTTGTTGTTATTATTATACTGAAGGAGTCTTGAGGATGTCTTGGATTCCTTTGCGGATCGAATCTCGAGGCCTCGCCTGTTTCTCACTGATAAGATGCAGATTGCTCTTGGTACGTTTTTCCTGTTTATTTGTCGAAAATCCTAGTTAAAGTTCATAGATTTTCTGCTGCTTTTGTTTTTGTTTCTATTCTCAAGTTGGACAACACCAATTGTGGACTCTTCTTGCTTTTTGGAAACAAATGGGCTGCAA